ATATAATATGATTGGCTGTGACTGATTGGTACCGGCAATGTGGGCCCTTCTGCAAGTGACCCCCAATTATCGCCTGTCCTTCAGGGGCCCCTGACATGTGATTGGCTGTCCAGTGTATGGGGGGGAGGGGGGGAGGGGGGGGGGCATTCCTCATTTCAGGTTTATAAGAATCACAAACTGATTTCCATTTCATTGTCAACATTAAAATGTAAGGCGGCTGGAGACGGCGATGGTGGCAAAGGGATGGTGGGATAGCGGTGATGGCGGGGATGGTGGAGATGGTGGAGATGGTGGGATGGCGGAGATGGTGGGATGGCGGGGATGGCGGAGATGGCGGGATAGCGGTGATGGCGGGGATGGTGGAGATGGTGGGATGGCGGAGATGGTGGGATGGCGGAGATGGTGGGATGGCGGAGATGGCGGGATAGCGGTGATGGCGGGGATGGTGGAGATGGTGGGATAGCGGTGATGGTGCAATGGCGGCGATGGCGAGGATGGTGGAGATGGTCGGGATGGCGGAGATTGCGGAGATGGCGGCAAACGGAATGGTGGCAATGGCGGAGATGGCGGGATAGCGGCGATGGCGGAGATGGTGGTGATGGTGGGGATGGCGGAGATGGCGGAGATGGTGGGATGGCAGAGATGGCAGCGATAGCAGTAACGGCGGAGATGGCGGCACGGATGAGCGGCTCTGATTGGACGGGAGATGTGAGTGATTACGGCATTATCTGCACTCACACACACTTTATTGGGAATATTAGAGGAATTAATGAGACATAAAACCACTTCCAGCCATCTTGCCGCCTCAGCATTTCTCTGCCGCCTTGTGATTACCGCCAGAGATCAGACCCTCCGCATACATTACACACCGCGCCATTCCCACCCCGTCCAATCACCACACACCTTCCCGCCCTCAACCATGTCACATGACCGTCATTGGACAGAAGGGGGCCGCAAACCTACTGCTTGTTACCAATCATACAAGTCAGGGTCAGGACGGCACAGAGCGAACATACACCGCAGAGTAATACAGAGCAGGGTCAGGACGGCACAGAGCGAGCATACACCACAGAGCAATACAGAGCAGGGTCAGGACGGCACAGAGCGAGCATACGCCGCAGAGTAATACAGAGCAGGGTCAGGACGGCACAGAGCGAGCATACACCGCAGAGTAATACAGAGCAGGGTCAGGACGGCACAGAGCGAGCATACACCGCAGAGTAATACAGAGCAGGGTCAGGACGGCACAGAGCGAGCATACGCCGCAGAGTAACACAGAGCAGGGTCAGGACGGCACAGAGCGAGCATACGCCGCAGAGTAACACAGAGCAGGGTCAGGACGGCACAGAGCGTGCATACGCCGCAGAGTAATACAGAGCAGGGTCAGGACGGCACAGAGCGTGCATACGCCGCAGAGTAACACAGAGCAGGGTCAGGACGGCACAGAGCGTGCATACGCCGCAGAGTAATACAGAGCAGGGTCAGGACGGCACAGAGCGCGCATACGCCGCAGAGTAATACAGAGCAGGGTCAGGACGGCACAGAGCGCGCATACGCCGCAGAGTAATACAGAGCAGGGTCAGGACGGCACAGAGCGCGCATACGCCGCAGAGTAATACAGAGCAGGGTCAGGACGGCACAGAGCGCGCATACGCCGCAGAGTAACACAGAGCAGGGTCAGACGGCACAGAGCGCGCATACACCGCAGAGTAATACAGAGCAGGGTCAGGACGGCACAGAGCGAGCATACGCCGCAGAGTAATACAGAGCGGGGTCAGGACGGCACAGAGCGAGCATACGCCGCAGAGTAATACAGAGCGGGGTCAGGACGGCACAGAGCGCGCATACACCGCAGAGTAATACAGAGCAGGGTCAGGACGGCACAGAGCGTGCATACACACCCGCAGAGTAATACAGAGCAGGGTCAGGACGGCACAGAGCGAGCATACACCGCAGAGTAATACAGACAGAGCAGGGTCAGGACGGCACAGAGCGAACAAACACCGCAGAGTAATACAGAGCAGGGTCAGGACCACACAGAGCGAGCATACACCGCAGAGTAATACAGAGCAGGGTCAGGACGGCACAGAGCGAGCATACACCGCAGAGTAATACAGAGCAGGGTCAGGACGGCACGGAGCGTGCATACACCGCAGAGTAATACAGAGCAGGGTCAGGACGGCACAGAGCGTGCATACACCGCAGAGTAACACAGAGCAGGGTCAGGACGGCACAGAGCGAATATACACCGCAGAGTAATACAGAGCAGGGTCAGGACGGCACAGAGCGAGCATACACCGCAGAGTAACACAGAGCAGGGTCAGGACGGCACAGAGCGAGCATACACCGCAGAGTAACACAGAGCAGGGTCAGGACGGCACAGAGCGAGCATACACCGCAGAGTAACACAGAGCAGGGTCAGGACGGCACAGAGCGTGCATACACCGCAGAGTAATACAGAGCAGGGGTCAGGACGGCACAGAGCGTGCATACACCGCAGAGTAATACAGAGCAGGGTCAGGACGGCACAGAGCGAGCATACACCGCAGAGTAGTGCCTCTGTGACCCGGTCAGGGTAGGACGTGGCTGTATAGCAGCAGACCCGAATATATATAGGTGATGCTCCTCGTAGACAGCGCCCCCCTCAGTGAAGTCCAGGCTTAGCTCTGGTGACACAGGAGAGCGGCTGGAGGGATCCCAGATCTGAGGACAAAGTGCCACCTACTGGACCATGGCAGTGATGATGGAGGAGACCTGACTACACTGGTGAGCACTGTAACGGAACCGACCCCGACTGCGCTGAGTACTTCCATCCGAACACCGACCACCGACACCACCGCTGACCATACAAGACTGGACGACACCAATCTGTCCGAACACCAACCACTGACACCACAGAGACCATACAGGACTAGACGACACCAATCTGTCTGACCACTGACACCACCACCGACCATACAGGACTAGACGACACCAATCTGTCCGAACACCAACCACTGACACCACCGCTGACCATACAAGACTAGATGACACCAATCTGTCCGAACACCGACCACTGACACCACCGCTGACCATACAAGACTAGACGACACCAATCTGTCCGAACACCGACCACTGACACCACAGAGACCATACAGGACTAGACGACACCAATCTGTCTGACCACTGACACCACCACCGACCATACAGGACTAGACGACACCAATCTGTCCGAACACCGACCACTGACACCACAGAGACCATACAGGACTAGACGACACCAATCTGTCTGAACACACCACTGACACCACCGCTGACCATACAGGACTAGATGACACCAATCTGTCCGAACACCGACCACTGACACCACCGACCATACAGGACTAGACGACACCAATCTGTCCGAACACCGACCACTGACACCACAGCTGACCATACAAGACTAGACGACACCAATCTGTCCGAACACCGACCACTGACACCACCGCTGACCATACAGGACTAGACGACACCAATCTGTCCGAACACCGACCACTGACACCACAGAGACCATACAAGACTAGACGACACCAATCTGTCCGAACACCGACCACTGACACCACAGAGACCATACAAGACTAGACGACACCAATCTGTCCGAACACCGACCACTGACACCACAGCTGACCATACAAGACTAGACGACACTAATCTGTCCGAACACCGACCACTGACACCACAGCCGACCATACAAGACTAGACGACACCAGACTTGAAGTAAACCAGGAGGTAGTCTAGTTTGTATGAACACAGATACAAGATATACACTCAGGGGACAATCCCCCCCCCTGCATAATGACACAGGGCGGGGCAATCCCTGCATAATGACACAGGGGGGGCAGTCCCCCCTCCCTGCATAATGACACAGGGCGGGGCAATCCCCCCTCCCTGCATAATGACACAGGGCGGGGCAATCCCCCCTCCCTGCATAATGACACAGGGCGGGGCAATCTACATTTAGTAACAAGAGACACACCAACAGACAGTCCCATCAGGAGGGAGGGCTGCTGGAGACACCCCCCCACCAAGCCAATACACAAACACATACACCCCATAATAGTTTGCTCCCAAGCCAGACACACAACAGAACAATGGGATGCACCACATGACACCAAACAATCCACAACCCCCCCCTAATATTAGGACAGATCCCCCTGTACCCCTAACAGGCACAGGGGGACTTACACATAAGAGGGATATGGGGAGCTGAGACAGGGGTTTCCCCACCTCTCCAAAGGGGGATGTGTTCCATGGGCCCCCTACCCAATGTGACTTCCGTCATACCCTCATAATGGGCACAGCAGGTGTACAGGGATGGTGGGAACCCCTCATAATGGGCACGGCGGGCGTACAGGGATGGTGGGAACCCCTCATAATGGGCACGGCGGGCGTACAGGGATGGTGGGAACCCCTCATAATGGGCACGGCGGGCGTACAGGGATGGTGGGAACCCCTCATAATGGGCACGGCGGGCGTACAGGGATGGTGGGAACCCCTCATAATGGGCACGGTGGGTGTACAGGGATGGTGGGAACCCCTCATAATGGGCACAGTGGGTGTACAGGGATGGTGGGAACCCCTCATAATGGGTACAGCAGTTATGGGCACATTGCCACTCGCGCTCGTTTAGTGGGATTTCCACGTGTCTGCGTGTCATGGATAGGGGAGCCATTATTCATTAGTGGCCCTCTGTGTGTTTCTCCTGCACCATTATTGGGGAATTTTGAGCATTATCATGTTTCATTTTTAGCACAATTTGGAAACTCGAGTGAAAATCGTCCGGATTCTGTATTCCGGATTCTGGATTCTGGACTCTGGATTCTGGACTTGGATTCTGGACTCTGGATTCTGGTTGGCGGTGAGGTCGGCCGTCATGGGTGGAGCTTCTCTGCTCTCAGTAAGACCGTCTATTTAAGGTCAGTATTTGGTGGGATGTAGTCAGCCTGGACTGGATTGGAGGTTCCATTTTCTTGGGTCTCTCCCAGGGGCGGACTGACCATTTGGAAACTTGGGCACTGCCCGAGGGCCCGGGGTCAGTAGGGGGCCCCATGAGATGCCCCTGGTACCTTTTCATAGGCTATTTTGAGTTTGGGCAAGGACACAGGGGCCCCATGATCCCCTATTGCCCGGGGGCCCCATGAGTTGTCAGTCCGCCCCTGGTCTCTCCTGGCTCTGGTCATGGCTTGATTCTATCTGCTACTGGGCATGTCCCAGATAATATTTACATGCTAGCCTACCGGGCACTTCTACCCCCTTCCTGCCCCCTGGGCACTTCTACCCCCTTCCTGCCTACCGGGCACTTCTACCCCCTTCCTGCCCCCTGGGCACTTCTACCCCCTTCCTGCCTACCGGGCACTTCTACCCCCTTCCTGCCCCCCGGGCACTTCTACCCCCTTCCTGCCCCCCGGGCACTTCTACCCCCTTCCTGCCTCCCGGACACTTCTACCCCCTTCCTGCCTACAGGGCACTTCTACCCCCTTCCTGCCTACAGGGCACTTCTACCCCCTTCCTGTCTACAGGACACTTCTACCCCCTTCCTGCCCACAGGGCACTTCTACCCCTTCCTGCCTACAGGGCACTTCTACCCCCTTCCTGCCCACCCAGGGCACTTCTACCCCCTTCCTGCCCCCCGGGCACTTCTACCCCCTTCCTGCCTACCCGGACACTTCTACCCCCTTCCTGCCTACAGGACACTTCTACCCCCTTCCTGCCTACAGGACACTTCTTCTACCCCTTCCTGCCTACAGGGCACTTCTACCCCCTTCCTGCCTACCGGGCACTTCTACCCCCTTCCTGCCTACCGGACACTTCTACCCCCTTCCTGCCTACAGGACACTTCTACCCCCTTCCTGCCTACAGGGCACTTCTACCCCCTTCCTGCCCACCGGGCACTTCTACCCCCTTCCTGCCCACCGGGCACTTCTACCCCCTTCCTGCCTACAGGAGACTTCTACCCCCTTCCTGCCTACAGGGCACTTCTACCCCCTTCCTGCCTACAGGACACTTCTACCCCCTTCCTGCCTACCGGGCACTTCTACCCCCTTCCTGCCTACAATACACTTCTACCCCCTTCCTGCCCACCGGGCACTTCTACCCCCTTCCTGCCTACCGGAGACTTCTACCCCCTTCCTGCCTACAGGGCACTTCTACCCCCTTCCTGCCTACAGGACACTTCTACCCCCTTCCTGCCTACAGGACACTTCTACCCCCTTCCTGCCTACAGGGCACTTCTACCCCCTTCCTGCCCACCGGGCACTTCTACCCCCCTTCCTGCCCACCGGGCACTTCTACCCCCACTTCCTGCCTACACGGAGACTTCTACCCCCTTCCTGCCTACAGGGCACTTCTACCCCCTTCCTGCCTACAGGACACTTCTCCCCTTCCTGCCTACAGGGCACTTCTACCCCCTTCCTGCCTACAAGACACTTCTACCCCCATTTCCTTTCCAGGCCAATGATCCAGCTTTCAAGGACACAGCGCTGCTGATCACACTTTGAATGCCAATTGCCGCGGTCATGCAACACTGTACCCAGATGACATTTTTATCATTTTTTTGCGACAGAGCTTTATTTTGGTGGTATTTCATCACCTCGGGGTTTTATTTTTTTCTTAAACAAACCAAAAACCACAGAAAATTTTGGAAAAAAAAAATTTTTTTCTTAGTTTTTGTTGGGAAAATATAAATACTTCAGAGTGATTTTTCCCCTTCACTGATGTGCGCTAATGAGGCTGCACTGATAGGTTCACTGAAAGGCAGCTCAGATGGGCACTGATATGCGGCATTGATGAGGCACTGCTGGGGCTACACTGATGATCAGTGTAGATGTCCCCTCCGAGGAATGCCGATTACCAGCTCTCCGCTCCTCTCCTCTGTCAGCGTGACGGCTCGTGAGGAGAAAATGCAGATAATCGGCATTTCCCTGTTTACATGTGATCACTGTGATTGGACACAGCTGATCACATGACCGAGCCGACATCTTTGGCTCTGTCCGTGATCGGTGATCCGCTGTGTCCGAAGGACACAGCGCACCGCTGATCGCCGCGCTGCGTGCTCCCTGAGCCGCGCATGCGCAGTGAGAATGGGATGACGTCATATGACGTCCTCCCAGAACAAGAGAACCACCTTGCGCCCGTCATTGGATTATATGGCGGGTGGGAGGTGGTTAAAGGCTGCACCAATCAGAAGTAGGGATATTTGTACTTCTCTGGCCAACCACTAGGAGTTTTATTGGTGGTGCTGGAGGCTGGGAGAAGATATAAATACTTCAGAGTGACCTTGGGAAGTCCTCCAGCTTGTGGGGAGATGTGTAGGTGTCTATTGGATCCTCTCAGGCCCACTTCCTGCAGAATGGTGACCACATGCCTGGATAAAGGCCTCGGTTAGGGTCCTACTATGCTGAACATGGGGATGGAAGAACCATGGAAGACATGCAGATGAGGTGAAACCTGGACCTTCACTGAAGTGTGGTGGTCTCTCCTAGAAGTTGGTGGTCTTTCTGAGAAGTCTGTGGTCTTTCCAAAGAGATGGCAGTCTTTATGAGGAGAGTTGATGGTCTTCTGACCAATCAGTCAGTGGTCTCCTGGAGAAGTCATCGGTCTGACCAATCAGTCAGTGGTCTCCTGGAGAAGTCATCTGGTCAATCAGTGGTCTCCTGGAGAAGTCATCAATCAGTCAGTGGTCTCTTGGAGAAGTCATCGGTCTGACCAATCAGTCAGTGGTCTCCTGGAGAAGTCATCGGTCTGACCAATCAGTCAGTGGTCTCTTGGAGAAGTCATCGGTCTGTGGTCTCCTGGAGAAGTCATCAATCAGTCAGTGGTCTCTTGGAGAAGTGGTCTGACCAATCAGGTGGTCTCTTGGAGAAGTCATCGGTCTGACCAATCAGTCAGTGGTCTCTTGGAGAAGTCATCGGTCTGACCAATCAGTCAGTGGTCTCTTGGAGAAGTCATCGTTCTTACCAATCAGTCAGTGGTCTCTTGGAGAAGTCATCGGTCTGCCCAGTCAGTGGTCTCTTGGAGAAGTCATCGGTCTGACCAATCAGTCAGTGGTCTCTTGGAGAAGTCATCGGTCTGACCAATCAGTCAGTGGTCTGGAGAAGTTGGAGTCAGTGGTCTCTGGAGAAGTCATCGGTCTGACCAATCAGTCAGTGGTCTCCTGGAGAAGTCATCGGTCTGACCAATCAGTCAGTGGTCTCCTGGAGAAGTCATCGGTCTGACCAATCAGTCAGTGGTCTCCTGGAGAAGTCATCGGTCTGTCCAATCAGTCAGTGGTCTCCTGGAGAAGTCATCGGTCTGACCAATCAGTCAGTGGTCTCTTGGAGAAGTCATCGGTCTGACCAATCAGTCAGTGGTCTCTTGGAGAAGTCATCGGTCTGACCAATCAGTCAGTGGTCTCTTGGAGAAGTCATCGGTCTGACCAATCAGTCAGTGGTCTCTTGGAGAAGTCATCGGTCTGACCAATCAGTCAGTGGTCTCCTGGAGAAGTCATCGGTCTTACCAATCAGTCAGTGGTCTCCTGGAGAAGTCATCGGTCTGACCAATCAGTCAGTGGTCTCCTGGAGAAGTCATCGGTCTGACCAATCAGTCAGTGGTCTCCTGGAGAAGTCATCGGTCTGACCAATCAGTCAGTGGTCTCCTGGAGAAGTCATCGGTCTGACCAATCAGTCAGTGGTCTCCTGGAGAATCATCGGTCTGACCAATCAGTCAGTGGTCTCTGGAGAAGTCATCGGTCTGACCAATCAGTCAGTGGTCTCCTGGAGAAGTCATCGGTCTTACCAATCAGTCAGTGGTCTCCTGGAGAAGTCATCGGTCTGACCAATCAGTCAGTGGTCTCCTGGAGAAAGTCATCGGTCTGACCAATCAGTCAGTGGTCTCCTGGAGAAGTCATCGGTCTCCTGACATCGGTCTGAATCAGTCAGTGGTCTCCTGGAGAAGTCATCGGTCTGAAGTCCGGTCTGACCAATCAGTCAGTGGTCTCTGGAGAAGTCATCGGTCTGACCAATCAGTCAGTGGTCTCCTGGAGAAGTCATCGGTCTGACCAATCAGTCAGTGGTCTCTTGGAGAAGTCATCGGTCTGACTGTCAGTGGTCTCTTGGAGAAGTCATCGGTCTGACCAATCAGTCAGTGGTCTCCTGGAGAAGTCATCGGTCTGACCAATCAGTCAGTGGTCTCTTGGAGAAGTCATCGGTCTGACCAATCAGTCAGTGGAGAAGTCATCGGTCTGACCAATCAGTCAGTGGTCTCTTGGAGAAGTCATCGGTCTGACCAATCAGTCAGTGGTCTCTGGAGAAGTCATCGGTCTGACCAATCAGTCAGTGGTCTCCTGGAGAAGTCATCGGTCTGACCAATCAGTCAGTGGTCTCTTGGAGAAGTCATCGGTCTGACCCAGTCAGTGTCTCTTGGAGAAGTCATCGGTCCAATCAGTCAGTGGTCTCCTGGAGAAGTCATCAGTGGTCTCCTGGTCTGCCCAGTCAGTGGTCTCTTGGAGAAGTCATCGGTCTGCCCAGTCAGTGGTCTCTTGGAGAAGTCATCGGTCTGCCCAGTCAGTGGTCTCTTGGAGAAGTCATCGGTCTGCCCAGTCAGTGGTCTCTTGGAGAAGTCATCGGTCTGACCAGTCAATCAGTGATGTCTTTGAGGAGTCATTGGTCTCTCTGAGGACTTGGTGGTCCCTTCGAGGAGTGTCCTGCAGTTGTGAGATGTTTCACGGATTGGCAGGCCGATGGACGGTTCTCGGTCTCTGAAGTATGTCAGGACTTTTTGTCCCTCATCAGGAGTCCACCATAGATATGGGTGTCCTGAGACCCGACCCCGTCTCGTTGGAGTGAGAGTCTATAAACTCCATTTCTTACATTGGGGTACCTCACAGGCTTTGGGGGTCAGTGGGGCTCTACATGGAGCCTCAGCTGCTTCTCCACTTATCTGTGGTCTAAGCAGGTGGATGCTGATTGGCCGGCACGGCTGTAATTTCCCTCCCCCAGCCTCTCGGAAATGTTACTGAAGAAGTTTTTTGGGATTATCCAGAATTCTGATCTCTGTAGAGCCCAGATATGCCATGACGTCTTCCTGCCATCGGATGGCGCCCCTCACCTTGGAAGTGGCTGTGCCTGTCCTGCTGGAAGTACATGAAGGATGGGGTGCAGACTTCCTGCCAGGGGCGGACTGACCATGTAAGCACTCGAGCACTGTCCGAGGGCCCGGGGTCAGTAGAGGGCCCCATGAGATGCCCCTGGTACCTTTCATTGGCTTTTTTGGGTGTGGGTGAGGAAATAGGGGCCCCATGATCCCTTATTGCCCGGGGGCCCCATGAGTTGTCAGTCCACCTCTGCTTCCTACAGAAGAAGTAGCAGCAGATGTTCCTCAGTGGCCCCCCAATATCCCTCGTCACCCCGATACCCCGGCACATGACGCCACTCCCCTATGATGTAATAGTAGAATGATGATGTCACCGCTGTGGGGTGCAGAGGTGTCGGCGATGAGGACAGACATAGAGGTGGTGACCCCACAGTGCGCCCTATACACCTGTATGCAGCACGATAGAGCGTCAGCTCCTCAGACGAGCACGCGCAGTTCTCTCCCCGGCCACAGCGACTACGGCAAGGACGTTATTTATGGGCAAATTACAAGAATAATCCAATTACAGCGTGGGAATCGTGCGGGCGGCGGGCTGCGCTGGCGAGACGCCATTTGTCTGCCGCTGACAATCCGGCGAGGAAAGTGCTGAGTGGACGGGGATTGCACGCCTGTTGGCGCTGGCGAGATCTCATTTTATCCCGGTTCTGCTTTATTAAACTCTCATAAACCTGTCAATTGGGACAGAAATCATTTCATCGGAGTCCATTAACCGCGTCGTCTGACGGCGGCAGAAAATGGAGTGCGCGAGCCGGGCCATTATCACCACCGCGCCTCTAATTCAATTAAGCGGCTTGTGTTAATGCGCATCGAATGAAAGAGCCGAGTAAATATTGTCTGCGGAGGAGGAGGGAGCGCGCCCCCGCGCCCGGCGCATCGTCCTCAATTAAAATAATTGCAATTCAATTAGCGGGATATGCAGATGGGTGGTGGAGGGGCGGAGGACACGACAACTCCGACATCTCCGACAACTCCGACATCTCCGACATCTCCGACAACTCCGACAACTCCACAACTCCGACATCTCCGACATCTCCGACAACTTCGACAACTCCGACAACTCCGACAACTCCGACAACTCCGACATCTCCGACATCTCCGACAACTCCGACAACTCCGACATCTCCGACAACTCCGACAACTCCGACATCTCCGACATCTCCGACATCTCCGACAACTCCGACAACTCCGACATCTCCGACATCTCCGACAACTCCGACACTCCGACATCTCCGACAACTCCGACAACTCCGACATCTCCGACATCTCCGACATCTCCGACAACTCCGACAACTCCGACAACTCCGACATCTCCGACAACTCCGAAACTCCGACATCTCCGACAACTCCGACAACTCCGACATCTCCGACAACTCCCGACAACAACTCCGACAACTCCGACATCTCCGACAAACTCCGACAACTCCGACAACTCCGACATCTCCGACAACTCCGACAACATCTCCGACAACTCCGACAACTCCGACATCTCCGACAACTCCGACAACTCCGACATCTTCGACAACTCCGATATCTCCGATAACTCCGACATCTCTGACAACTTCGACATCTCCGACATCTTTGACATCTTCGACATCTCTGACAACTCCGACATCTCCGACAACTCCGACAACTGCGACATCTCCGACAACTCCGACAACTCCGACAACTCCGACAACTCCGACAACTCCGACATCTCCGACAACTCCGACAACTTCGACATCTTCGACAACTCCGACAACTCCGACATCTCCGATAACTCCGACATCTCCGACAACTTCGACAACTCCGACATGTCCGACATCTTCGACAACTCCGACATCTCCGACATCTCCGACAACTCCGACATCTCCGACAACTCCGACATCTCCGACATCTCAGACAACTCCGACATCTCCGACATCTTCGACAACTCCGACATCTCCGACATCTCCGACAACTCCGACATCTCCGACAACTCCGACATCTCCGACATCTCAGACAACTCCGACAACTCCGACATCTCCGACAACTCCGATATCTCCGGCAACTCGGCTCACAGACATCCCGCAACATTCGCCGTTCCTTCCTCGCCGATCGCTGCCGTATTTCGATTCGTTGTTTCAGATTGTGAAGAAGAAACGTTTCGGTTCAAATATTTTATTTTTAGGGATATAATCGGGAATGACATCCGGCGGGGAGCGCTGTGACCCGTATCGGGGTGTTGAGGGGGCTCTGGGGGGTGTATGGGGTGAAGTGGCCCAGCGGGGGGGGGGGGGGGGGGGGCATCTTATTATAAATATTGGCGTTCGCTCGTCTCCCCGGGAATCTGCGGCAGAAATCCCATCAATAATTCCCTGGCAGCTCGGAAATCTCCGCATTGTCCTCACATTCGCCGTTCACCTTCATCCTCCGACGCATCGCTCCTGACATGTCGCCACGCGGCTGGGGGCGGGGTTATCAGCTTTTTATTCAGGGAAATATCTCGGCTTCTTGTCATCAGATTTCATCGTTTGTGGAAATTCGGGAATAAATGTAACTAGAGGAAGGATTGGAGGGGGGCAGGGCAAAAGAATGGCATTGGGGGCGGGGCACAAGGAATGGCATTGGGGTGGGGCACAAGGAATGGCTTTGGGGGCGGGGCACAAGGAATGGCGTTGGGGGGGCGGGGCACAAGGAATGGCATTGGGTGCGGGGCACAAGGAATGGCGTGGGGGGGCACAAGGAATGGCATTGGGGCGGGGCACAAGGAATGGCTTTGGGGGCGGGGCACAAGGAATGGCCTTGGGGGGGCACAAGGAATGGCGTGGGGGGGCACAAGGAATGGCATTGGGCGGGGCACAAGGAATGGCATTGGGGGGGGCGGAGCACAAGGAATGGCGTTGGGGGGGCGGAGCACAAGGAATGGCATTGGGGGGCGGAGCACAAGGAATGGTGTGTTGGGGGGGGCAGGGTACAAGGAATGGCGTTGGGGGGGCGGAGCACAAGGAATGGCATTGGGGGGCGGAGCACAAGGAATGGCGTTGGGGGGGCGGAGCACAAGGAATGGCATTGGGGGGGTGAAGCACAAGGAATGGCGTTGGGGGGGCGGGAGCACAAGGAATGGCGTTGGGAGGGCGGAGCACAAGGAATGGCGTTGGGGGGGCGGAGCACAAGGAATGGCGTTGGGGGGGCGGAGCACAAGGAATGGCGTTGGGGGGGGCGGAGCACAAGGAATGGCGGTGGGGGGGGCGGCCCAGCCGCATTCAGCATTTTCCCACCATTAAACCGCTTTTGTCTCATTATAGAAGATGGTGGAAATCACCAAACAGAGACGCAGAATACACGCAGAACACACGCAGAATACATGCAGAACACACGCAGAATACATGCAGAATACACGCAGAATACACACAGAACACACGCAGAAATACATGCAGAACACACAGAACACACGCAGAATACACACAGAACACAAGCAGAATACACACAGAACACACGCAGAATACACACAGAACATACACAGAACACACGCAGAATACACACAGAATACACACAGAATACAGGCAGAACACACACAGAATACACACAGAACACACGCAGAATACATGCAGAATACACACAGAACACACGCAGAATACACACGCAGAATACACACAGAAACAAAAAAATACAGAATACACAGAAACACACGCAGAATACATGCAGAATACACACAGAACACACGCAAATACACACAGAACACACGCAGAATACATGCAGAACACACACAGAATACATGGCAGAATACACAAACACACACAGAATACATGCAGAATACACACAGAACACACGCAGAATACACACAGAATACACACAGAATACACAGAACACACGCAGAATACACACAGAACACACACAGAATACAAAGAATACACACAGAACACACACAGCAAAACACAGAATACACACAGAACACACAGAACACACACGCAAATACAAAATACACACACAGAACACACGCAGAAACATGCAGAATACACACAGAAAACACAGAACACAAAAACAGAATACACAAGAACACACACAGAATACATGCAAAATACACAACACACGCAGAATACACACAAAAACACACAGAACACAGAAAAACAAACAGAACACAAAAGAAACACACAGAAAAACACAAACACACAAAAAAAAAAAACAAACACAACACACAAACACACACGCAGAAAACAGAAACACACAGAAAACACACAGAACAAAAAAACAGCAGAACAACACATAAAATACACACAAACACAACAAACAAAAAAAAACACACAGAACACAACAAATACACACAAACACACGCAGAACACACAAAACACAGAATAAACAAAAAAAACACAGAACACAAAAACAAACACACGCAGAAACAAACAAACAGACACAGACAAAAAATACAAAGAAACAAAAAGAAAACAAACAAAACAAACAAAAAACAAAAAAGAATAAAAAAAAACAACAAAAAACACACAAAAAAAAACACAAAAAAACAGAAACACAAACAAAAAAACAAAAACACAACAGAACACACGCAAAAACACACACAAAAACAAACAAAAAAAACAAAAAGAAAAAAAGAACCAAAAAAAAGAAAAAACAGAAAAACAAAAAACAAAAACACACAAAAAAAACATAAAACAAACATTCAAAAAAAAAAACAAAAAAAACACAAAAACACAGAAAACAAAAAAAACAACAAACACCGCAAAAACACAAAAACAAAAAAAACAAAAAAAAACAAACAAAAAATACAAAAAAAAAAAACACACAAAACAAAAAAAAACAAAACAAAAAAAAAAAAAAAAAAAAACAAAAAAAAAAATAAACAAAAAAAAACAAAAAAAAAACACACAAAAAAACACACATACAAAACAACAAAAAAAGAAAAAAAACAAGAAAAAAAAAGAAAAAAACCACAAAAACAAACAAAAAAAAACACAAAAATACAAAAAAAACACAAAAGAATACACACCAAAATACACAAAAAAAAACTACAAAAAAAACAAAAAAAAAAAAAAAACAAAAAAAAACAACAAAAAAACAAACAAAAACCACAAAAAAAAAAAAAAAAAAAAACAAGACAAAAAACACAAAAAAAACAGAAACAAAAAAAACACACACAAAATACAAAACAAAACAAAAAAAAAAAAAAGAAAAAATAAAACCAAACAAAAAAAAAAAAAGCAAAAAACCACACACGGAACAAATACCCCCACAAACTGAAAAAAAAAACAAAAAAAAAAAACAAACAATATAAAAAAACGCTAAAAAACAAAAAAAAAAAAAACAAAAAGAAACACGCAAAACAAAACAACGCAAAAAAACACAAAAAAAAAAAAAACCAAAACAAAAACACAAAAAAAAACAAATATAAAACAAAACACAAAGCAAAT